AGTCTAGTGTTCAGCTTATGGTTGCTGGGTTGCCTCATTCACTTGAATGGGTCTTGATCAGTGGCATACAGTGAGGAACAGAAGTATTTGAACACCCTGCGATTTTGCAAGTTCTCCCACTTAGAAATCATGGAGGGGTCTGAAATTCACATTTGTAGGTGCTTTCCCACTCAGAGACAGAATTAAAAAAAAAACAAAATTCAGGAAATCACATTGTATGATTTTTAAAGAATTTTTGTCTTGCACTGCTGAACATAAGTATTTGAACACCTGAGAAAATCAGTGTTAATATTTGGTACAGAAGCCTTTGTTTGCAATTACAGAGGTCAAACATTTCCTGTAGTTCTTGACCAGGTTTGCACACACTGCAACAGGGATTTTGGCCCACTCCTCCACACAGATTTCCTCTAGATCTGTCAGGTTTCGGGACTGTCGCTGAGCAACACAGAGTTTCAGCTCCCTCCAAAGATGTTCTATTGGATTTAGGGCTGGAGACTGGCTAGGCCACTCCAGAACCTTGATATGCTTCTTACGGAGCCACTCCTTGGTTATCCTGGCTGTGTGCTTCGGGTCGTTGTCATGTTAGAAGACCCAGCCACGACCCATCTTCAATGCTCTGACTAAGGGAAGGAGGTTGTTGCTCAAAATCTCACAATAAATGGCCCCATTCATCCTCTCCTTAATACAGTGCAGTCGTCCTGTCCCCTTTGCATAAAAGCACCCCCAAAGCATGATGTTACCATCCCCATACTTCACAGTAGGGATGGTGTTCTTTGGAGGAAAATGAAGGATGAGTTGCATCCCAACACGACGAGTGAAGTTTAGACCAAAAAGTTCTACTTTGGTCTCATCTGACCACATGACTTTCTCCCATGCCTCCTCTGGATCATCCAGATGGTCATTGGCAAACTTCTTACGGGCCTGGACATGTGATGACTTGAGCAGGGGAACCTTCCGTGCAATGCATGATTTGAAAACATGACGGCGTAGTGTTCTACCGACAGTGACCTTTGAAACTGTGGTCCCAGCTCTCTTCATGTCATTGACCAGCTCCTCCCTTGTAGTTCTGGGCTGATTCCTCACCTTTCGTATCAGTGATTCCCCACGAGGTGACATCTTGCATGGAGCCTCAGTCCGAGGGAGACTGACAGTTGTCTTTAGCCTCTTCCATTTTCTAACAATTGCTCCAACAGTTGATCTATTTTCACCAAGCTGCTTGGCAATTGCCCCGTAGCCCTTTCCAGCCTTGCGGAGGTCCACAATTTTGTCTCTGGTGTCTTTTGACAGCTCTTTGGTCTTGCCCAGGGTAGTAGTTGGCGTCTGACTGTGGGGTGGACAGGTGCTACTAAGTTAGATTAATGAGTGGAGTAGAGGTGCACTTTTTAAAGGCACAGTAACAGGTTTTTGAGACCCAGAATTTTTGCAGTTTCTTAGGTGTTCAAATACTTATGTTCAGCAGTGCAAGACAAATAAATTCTTTAAAATTCATACAATGTGATTTCCTGAATTTATTTTTTAAATTCTGTCTCTCAGAGTGGGAATGCACCTACATTGTGAATTTCAGACCCCTCCATGATTTCTAAGTGGGAGAACTTGCAAAATCGGAGGGTGTTCAAATACTTCTGTTCCTCACTGTAACTGCAACAAGAGGGATTATTTTTGCCACAGCACAAAGCAAAGTGTCGTGCATGTGTAGAACCCTGTCCAGCTGCCTTTCCTATTTCTACTGCCCCCTAACTGCAAATGTACACCAAGTCTGAATCAGAAGGTCCAACATCTGAAAAAACAGTTCTAGTTGCACAGCAACTAATTGCCAGCAGCAAGGCAGAAGAACAGGGTATACTACATACACCCAGTGTACTTCGATAAAGTGTGTAGAATGCCCAGTTTTCACAAATTATTAAAGTGTATCTGTGCCCAGGCTATGGACATTCAAGTATTTACATATTACCATCAAGCAGTAAACAAATTTTAAAACAACCCCTCACTGACCTCTGTAGCTGCAGGCATTGTGGAGCTATGCATCCTCATTTCACAGTAGCACTGTTGAAGCCCTCCAAGTTATTCTGTTAGCAATTCAGCCACTTCTGCTTACCCACCCAGCAGTGACTGAACAGTTCAGCTCACCCTGCTTTCCCTTTCAGCAGTAAATCGGTAGCTCCGCTCTCTCTTCCAGCAGTGTCTTAGCAGCTCTACTCACCATTTCCACCAATGAATCCGCAGCCTTCCAATAACTAGTGTAAACAGAGTTCAGAAGTCCTAGAAAGAGGGAGTATGGTGATCTCAGCTGGGCGAAGGAATCAGAGTATTTGAGTGTTTCTGATGTGATCTTTGAGGATGAAGTGCTCCATGCTGTCTTCAGCTACAAAAGTTAGTAGGGGCTAATTTTCCACCTAAGAATATGTGAGTACTAAATGTACTCTTTAAGCATATATTCTTATTAGAAAGGCCATCACAATTTGCAAACTGAGCATCATAAATGTGCCCTGTTCTAAATGTTTATTAAAAATGTAAATACACATAACTCCAGCCAAAACTATTTATTTGGCAGGAGAAGAGAATGGTTTGTACTTTGTTAATATTTTGTTTTCTGTGACTATTTTAGGGTTTAAAATTAAAAAAAAAAAAAAAAAAAAAAAGGTTGTGAACTTTCAAAAAGATGAATTCCAATAATCTGGAACAGTTATTACCTTTCTCCTGTGGCTCTGTATTACAGAGTAGGTCAGGGGTGTACTTCAGATTGTCCAGTGCCATGATGGCAGATTGGGGGCGAGAACCCTTGGACGCCTCAAATACAATCTGTAAGACAATGATAATTCTACATGACTAGGCAAGGAAAACTTTCACACAAACAAATTGATATACACATATTGGGATTTTTTTTTTACCAATGACATGGTCCTAAATTGATGACTAACTCTGAGTTTACTGGGTATTTTTTATAAATAAAAGTAGAGAAAAAAATTTTCAAAAATTTTCGGTGGTTTTTGTTTATATCACAAAAAATTAAAAACCCAGTGGTGATCAAATACCACCAAAAGAAAGATCTATTTGTAAAAAAAAAAAAAAAAGACAAATTTGACTTGGGTACAGCATTGCCTGACCGTTCAACTACCAGTTAAAATAGCGCAGTACTGAATAGCAAAAAATGTCCTGGTTATTAAGGGGGAGGGGGAAATCTTCCGGAGGGTAAGTGGTTAAAGAATTTGTCACTTTGTCTGCAACAGATTCCTAAAGAATTACAATCCGTTCACTGATTAAGAGACTGGCGGTAATTAAGACCAGCTCTGAGCTGTGCTCAGAGTGGAGCATGTTAGTGCTGGGAAGCTGCTGTGCAGGGAGCTGACACATACATTGCAATGTACCCCCAGCCCCATTTAGATACCTCAGCCCAAAAGCAAATAAACTGGCTGGGGTAATGGTGACGTCATTACTTAGTTATGTCAGTGCCCATATTTAGGAAATGTGTCACTGGGTGGTCAGAGCCTGATGGGGGACCAAGAAACTAGTTCCCCATCAGCTCCACTTAACTTGTGATTGACAGTGTGACGGCGGGAGGATTCAAAAGCTGCTATTGGCCTGAATAGCGGCTTTGGATCTGCCCACTGTTGTGCCCTGTCAATCAACAGCAACTTGGACCTGATGGGGAACTGTTTTCTCATTTCCCCCATCAGGCCCCACTGACCCCCATTACAAAACTCACTGGCCATGCACCATGTCAATGTACCACCTGTCAATGTGACTAGTGCAGTAGCTGGGGAAGGAGGGGGCAATATGGACACTTCAACCCCAGTGCTGCTAACCAACAGATTCATGTACTACTTTGGTATTATCTCTACTGTGCTTCTCACTGTTCTCCTTGTTAGAGAAAAAGCTGTACCTGGGGACCTCTTAACAGTTTACAAAACCAAATGCTCCACCATTAGGTCTCTACTTAAAACCCCTCTTAAAACATTTAAAATGTAAAACATTTGCTGTGTTATAGGGAACATCTAGAAAAGTTAATTTTGCCTAAACAGTGCCCTGAAATATTTACCTTAGTCTGGAACTCTTCCTTAAAATAGCAGTGAACTTCCTGTGCCTAGTAACTACTGGATCTTGCGCCTCCTATCCCTATATCTGCAGTGTGAGATCTTCTAAGGCACTGCTGCCTCTAATTTCTAGTCTCACCAGATTTGGGGGTAAGATGTGGTAATGTTTCTATGGTCTTGCTCACAGTTCTCCTTGCTGGAGAAAAAGCTGTACCTGGGGACCTCTTACCAGTTTACAAAGCCAAATACTCTAAAGCAGGTCCCTACTTCTGGCACCTTGAAGAGGGATTTTAAGTCCATCCTCGCCAACCAGCACATCCCATTTAAAAGAAATTCATACTGCACTCAAAAAGAACTCCATGAGTAAATTTATTGGAAATAAAAGTTACATCTACCTGTTGAGCTCCTGGCCTAATGCACTTCACCCACAACAGGGTTTATTGAATCTACAATTAGGGCCTAGTGGCCTGAAAAGCAGGAAGGAGCTCAGATGGTTGGATGAGATTTATCTTCAATAAACTTACAGTTCTTCTGAAGTGTGGTATGGATTTATTTCCTATAAGATGTACCTGAGGAGTTGCAGTGCAAGGATCTCTGTGCTTCTGCTACATTCAGTCTGTGAATTTGTGCTTTGTAAAACTCTCCTGCTGCTTCTTGAATATTCCCTCTCCAGTCATCAGGAGGGAAGCGCTGACATGAGGAATCAAAGCTCTGCCTCTACCAAGCTGGCCACCACCACAATGCAGAACAAGACAGATTTTAAAAAAACAAAACCATTCCAATTTCCCGTTAAGATTTCTGGTTTATACAGCTAAAAGTACACTTAAAAGAATAATGTAAAAAAGGAAACTGAACACGCTGCCCATAAAGATTCTACAGATTTACCTGAAACTCCACAGTGCTGTTGAGCTGTAGCTGTTGCTCTTGCCAGCCAGTGCTGTGGAAGCCACGCAGGACCCACACCGGCTGCAGCCCCTGTGTGCTGGTGATATACAAAACCAGCTCCGCCAGATCTACAACAGAGAGTGAATGTTTAGTATGCTGTACACATTCAGAGCTTGTCTTGGGATACATTTACAGCAAGATTCAGGGAGAAACACAGTTGCCCCAGCTAAGCAGCTGAATACCCAATTTTGTTTATTTGCCCAAAATTGGTATTTAGTATTATATTTTGCTGAAGGATGTCACTACTATTTCCTAGTGCGGTTTTGCAGCTTCCTACTCACTCATTTCTGCATGCTTAGCATTATGGCACCTTACCATTCTCTCCACCTGAAAGTTTCATACTTCTCAAGTCTCTTCACAGCTAAAGGAATGTAGATGATGTTCCTTTTCTTTTTTTTGTAATTCTTTTATTTGTTCAAATGACATACAATAAAAGGATGAGTAGGATGCCAACTTAGGTACACAGAATTACAGTGCAAATGTCAAAGCATCACAATGTACATAAAGACAAGTAATACTAGGAATTGTCAGAGCCAAGGAAAAAGGCTCAAAGGACAAAAAACACATAATGAACCAGGTTAACCACAATATGATGCAAAACATGAACAAGTCGTATTATAATAGTTGAGGTTCATCCTGAGGTGACGATGGTTATGGCAAAACTAGGATAATTTGAGGCTTACTAAATGACTGAAATTCTGAAACAGCGAGGATGAGGTTGCCAACCCGTAATATATTGAACAGACTGGTAGCAATAAAAATATGGGGGGAAAAAGGGGAAATTAGGGGTAAACCCCACAGAAAGGTGCTGCGGGAGCCAGGGGGAAAAAGGGCGAGAAAGGGGGAAGCAATATAGGTACAGAAGGGCCAGAGAAACAGAAGAGAGGGGGGACACAGGATAGAGTCCAAATGATTGTGCATCCTCGCCCAAGGTGTATAGGTAGAACAGAGAGAATAAGAACTTCACTGGTGGGAAGGAAGTTCAGCCAGATATGCATCTGGAAATACAAAGTACTGCCAGGGGCGCCAGGTGTCACGTAAGGTCTTTTCTTTATTGCTCAAAATGGTTGTAAGATCCTCCATGTCCCTAAGCTCGTTCACCTTAGAGAACCAAAAAGAGAGTGGGGGAGGATGGGTATCCTTCCACTGAAGTGGGATGCAGACCTTAAGCAGTTGGATGATGAGTGAGTGAATCCTTATTTCTTGATGGGTCTCCCCAACTGATGCAAAAGGCAGGCCACTGGGTCGTCATGTAGGTCCACTCCCATTTATAGAGAAGGGGGGGGGGGGGGGGGGGAAGAGTCATGTTCTGGATGAATGAGAGAAGAATAGGTGGTAGAGAAGCTATGATGGACTGGTTCTCTCTTGTAACATAAAACTTGAAAAGCTGTTGCAGGCAATGCTGGGTGAACGTAAGAGGGAGCGAAGATCAGATCAAAAGGTGGAGTCCTCCCCAAAAAACTCAAAAAGAGGATCCACTAGCTGGGTGACGTAGGCGGCAATAAGGGCACCAGTAGGGGTAAGAAAATCCATCAGATGGGAGTGCCCCACTGGCTTTGCAGGTGAAGGAATTGTTGATCATCCAACCCTAGAATGAAGTTGGTGTTGCCCAAAATGGGAACCAAAAGGAGAAGGAGCAGGGGACATGAACGGGTTGTGGAATGCCTTTCAAACAACCCTAAGAGTGGTGCAAAGGGTGGGGTGTGTACAAAGGTCGCAGGGCAAAAGGTGTTGCAGCCAAGGCCAGCTAAGGGCTGGAGTCCTCCCACTCCACTTTAGGCAGCTCTATAGTTATTATTGTTATACAGGATTAATATAGTGCCAACAGTTTGGTCAGCGCTTTACAATATAATATAACGGGAGATAATACAGCAACAATACAGTTCAATACAAGCAGATTAGGAGGGCACTTCTCATTGGAACTTACAATCTATGAGAATAAGAGTGAATGTCCGGTAGGCCTACCCCACCACAATCTTAGGGAAGATCAGTAAATGAAGGGCCAGGCTTAGCTTCCCATGGGACCAAATGAGGGTTCAAAACATTGCACTGACTTTTTGGAAGAAGGGCACTGGGAGTTGAATGGGGAGAGCTTGTAACAGGTAACGTATGCAAGGGAGTACTGTCATTTTAGGCACAGTACAGCGGCCAAACCATGTCAGTGTTAGTGTATGCCAATGGAGAAGGTCATCTTTAATCTTAAACAGCAGGGGTGTGAAGATTGTAGCATAGAGATGTGAAAAATCTGGAGTGATGTTTTTACCTAGATACCGGATTGAGTTGGTGGCTCAGCGAAAGGAGAAGGGATGGGGCGACTAAGTACCCCAGACTCGGAGTAAACATTTAGTGCAGAGGATTTTACAAGATTGATTTTGAAGAATGGCAGATTACCATAATCTTGGAATACCTGGAATAAATTGGGTAAGGAAGTATTGGGATCAGTGAGAAAGACGATAAGGTAATCCGCAAACGCAGCAACCTTATGTTCCCCAGTTTGCAGAAGCCAGAGATAATAAGATCGGCTTTAATTTCACACAGGAAGGGTTCTAGCGTTAAAATACAGATCAAGGGAGAGAGCGGGCACCCCTGTCATGTCCCATTAGAGATAGGAAAAAAAGATCTAGTCTTGTTGACTTTAACAGAGGCTGAGTGTTGAGAATAGATGGAAGTGATCCATTGGAGCATGGATATCCCAAGACCAATGTAAGCCAGGTTGGCCTGCATGAACTGCCAATTAACCCAATCAAATGCCTTTTCGGTAACAGTAGAAAGTAGGATGAGTGGGGTTTTGGCAGTGCTTGCAGTATGAATCAGGTTGAGGACACACATGGTATTGTCCCGTGGTTCCCTAAGCAGGACGAAGCCTGCCTGATCCCTGTGTATCAGGCTGGGGATGTGGGACAACAGCTGGATGGCAAGGATTTTTGCAAACAGTTTCAGGTCAGTAGTCAAAAGTGCAATGGGCGGTAGCTACCGCAATGCGAGGGGTTCGTGCCCTCCTTAGGCATCAGAGAGATGTAGGCCCTGAGTGCATCCAGGGAAGATGTGCCTTTTCTAATAACACTGATGCTGCTTAGGTAGTGATAGTGAAGACAGACCCTTCCACTTAGCAGATGGTTTGATGGAAGACATTAGTTCCTTCAGAACAAGAATCGTTGCTAACATCCTTGGACCATATAGAGATCTCCTCAGGTGAATTTGTTTATCTACAAAACTGGAGCTACACTAAAAGAATTCATTGCGGGGATTTTATTAAAACTGGAGCAGCTGTGCATGACAACCAACCAGCTTCCATTTTCAAAGTTAAGTTGAAGATAGATACTGATTGATTGCCATGCACAGCTGCTCCAGAATTTCTCTGCTCCAGTTTTGATAAATGTCCTTGACTATATTTTCTACTAGGTGCAATTGGTTCTTGGGTTACCTGACTGTAAACAGCACAAAACTGCAAAATGGATGGCAAGTATACAGAAACAGTGTCCTGGACATATTGCATCACTTACGGAGATGGTCCTGGGCGTCCGTACGGTACCAGAAACGAAAGCAGGATCCACTAGTAGCTGACAGATGCTCACTGATCAGCCAGGCTGAGGTTCCCTCTGCATGCATTGCACCAGTGTCTACAAAGGCATAGTGTCCTGCAGGGGGCAGTAAAAGTCACCGAGTTAAAACGATAAACTACAGTATATCAGATGTTACCAAATTCAAATGACACAATGCCACACTGAGTAGGGTAAGCTGTCACAGTACTGAGGGTCATGCCTAAATTTTTTTGTAGTGTTGGAAAGAGTGGAGAGGGAATAGAACATCTGTCAGTTTTTTTTTTTTTTTTTTATTGCGGTCTGTGCCCTGTGAGGGAGATTCTCCTTCTCTATTTGACATGTTTACAGTGATTACAATGTGAAAAAAGTCACAAAATTTGGGCTGCCCCCAGGAACAGAGGGGAAATCTTCCGGTGGAGACACTAGTTCAGAACACAGATTGCAAAAAAAAAAAAAAAAAAAAACCTGACAGGGTTCTAAACATTTTTTTTAGAATTCTAAAAAAAAACTGCAGCATTTCGGGGAGTAATACGACTGTAAATAACATTTACGGGGGGGGGGGGGGGGGGGGGGGGGGGGGGGTGGATTTATGTAAAAATCCAGCATTTTTCAGCTGCAATACAAGCAAAAAAAATATTCCACCATTAGGAAATGTTTTATGTGTATTTCCCATACAGCTGGTATATTAAGCGCCACCCAATTTCTTAAGCCCTGCCCACTTTTAACCAAGATGCTGTGGCAGATGCAGGACATCCTCCTGCCATGGTGTTATGCAGGATAAGTGAACAAACTGACATCTCTGCTGACAAAGGGACATCTGGTCCATACAAATGACCCAAGATGACCTTAAAGAAAACCAGCACTGAGAAATATGGGGGATGCCATTTCTGTCCTCCTCCTGCAAATGCTAGTTATCTGGCTGGCTCTGCCAATGATACAGAGTTGCTGTCCTCAAACATTTATACAGGTTAGAAAACTCAGTGAGGAGTCAAAACTGCTGCTCTGTGTACTTGCCGAGACTCAAATTACTGTAACTGGTGAACCAGAATTACAGCCAGGAAAATGGCAATTTCAAAAACAGAGTCCTGATATTTCTTCCAGTACAGGTGTCCTGTAACTGGTCTCTAGAACATAGGGTATCCTTACCTTCTGGTGTGCCAGGACTGTGGTCTTTCTCTGGAGCTGAGTTAGGTCTTTCTAGAGCTTTCCCATACGTCCAGTCCCAATCATAGGTGTCCATTAAGGGAATCCGAAGGTGGTCCAAGCACATGATCCCCATTCAAAGTCACATGATACTGCAGAAGAAGAAAGGGAATACATTCACTGACTCAATAGATAGAACAGCAGTAGGCTTTACTAAAATGGAGGACTTATTTAATACCTGCTTCATGACAACGGTGATGTCTTATGTGAATATCATCCACAGCAACATAAGAACGATCTCCACCAGCACCCACTGCTTCAAACAAGAGCTGCACAGAGAAGAGAGATTGTAGCCTTAGTACCAGCAGAGCAAAGGAAAATGATGATAGGTAAAGTGTACCATACAGGGGTGGACTGACCATTTAGAAACTGGGGCACTGCCCGAGGGCCCGGGGTCAGTAGGGGGCCCCATGAGATGCCCCTGGTACCTTTTTTTCATAAGCTTTTATGAGTTTGGGCAAGGACACGGGCCCCATGATCTCCTATTGCCCAGGGGCCCCATGAGTTGTCAGTCTGCCCCTGATCCCATATTAACCAATCGGATTAAACCTTACCATGGTCAGATCAGTAAAAGATGGACATGTGCTGCACTGAATTTTGCACATTGAGTAAACCATGCTTGTATTGTCATCACTCCTTGTTTGCAGATATAGTGCAGACTGCAAACGAGAAGAATGCAAACAGAACAGTGTTTACAGCTCTCAGTGTGGATGGAAGAAAAATGCAGAAGGAAGACATTATAAATACAAATCTTCTTAGTATCCCTGGATATTAGCAAATAATGTACATGTATTAAAAGCACAGTTAATCAATACTAATATAGTCAGTACAAGGTATCAGTCTTACCACCCAGGGTCTCTCAGCCTGGAGTGCCAGGCTTTTGTGGTGCCAGCTTTCTTGGTGTTTCTCACTGATACTCAGTAACTGTCTATTAACTTTCTTTTTTCCAGTATCCTCTTCAATGGACACAGTCAGTGTTCCTGCCAAAGCCAAAGCAGTGTTTATTACAGCATATCACAAGTCTACTAATTAGAAAACGAAGGAGACATATTTCATTTCGTTACTCTATATCAAATTTTCTAGCAGAAAACGAGTTGTTATTGCATTGTAATGTACAGCGCTGAGCGAACCATTGGCGCTTTATAAATACTGTATAATAATAATTAGTCTATTCTGTGAACGGATAACAGCAGTGGTCCCCTCGAATATAACCCAGAGGGTACAACTGCTCCTCATACATGGTTAGATTTTTTTTTTTTTCATTCAAACAGCCAACAGATTCCTCCATCTCCCCACCAGGACACTGTATTCCGATAGAGGTACCCACAGCTGACTGGCTGCAACCACTGGTAAAGAAAAAGTTTCCAACATGTCCCTGTTTGATCAACTTCTGTCAGCTTTGCTGAACCAGCCAAATTTCGGTGGGTCCCCCCAAATGTGGTGGGAAGATTGTAGTGATTCACAGCTGAAAATAATCACAGTGGACGCAGTATCAGGCTTTTTTTCATGATTTGTGCACGATGGATTGAATGGTTGTATGGTGTTTTTGCATGTTATACTTCATTTATGCACATTATTGATGTAAGAAGATTGTTGAATCAGAAATTGCTTGTAGCTCAATGAATCTTTAGCAACCTTTAGAGGAACCCTAGGGTTCCATGGAACTCTGGTCGAGAAGCTGCTCTAGACTGCACTGTACTCAAACCTTCAGAGGCAGGCCAGAGTAAAAAGCTACAGATTTATCCTTTGGCTCTGTCGAGACATCTGTACACAATGATAGGTTGGGTCTTGGGTTGAACAAAGCCAACAAGCAGGACGAAATTCAATTCACACTATCGCGTGTCAATGGCAGCAGGTCGAGATGCTTTTGAGATCATTTAGAATTCACTGACGGGCAATGCACCGGCAGTTGATCTGCTTTCATATAGACTTGTGTGGAAATGCAAAACCCTCGTGAAGCAAACAAAAGCCTCTTGACACATGTCCTGAATATAACTCAGGAATGTGATTATGAGCACCACATAACTTACCAGGATCTTCTCCTCCTAGCTGGTACCAGAAGTTCAGACAGGCTTCATCTAGCTGCGCATTGTAGCTACCTGATTTCAAAACTGCAGTCTCTTTCCGGGGCAGGGAGGAAGAGCTGGTATCAATCACCATGTAATGTCCTAAGGAAAGGAGAATGAATACTAGTGAGCAAGGATGGAACAACAGGTACAAAGAAGGAATGGTGCCTGTAGCATCATGTAGACATTACTGTTACAGGTGCTGCTTAGAAAAGATGCATTGCCAACCAGAAATGGGGTATGTCAACATTCTAGTGAGAGAGAAACAGGACTACTGAATGCACAATGTACTCCTCCTGTTTGTATATTCTCAGGAACAGGGCCAGATCTAGCCTAGCAGATCTGGAATTGTCGTAAAAAAGAGAGTCAGGGGCAATAACGTGTGTGAGTCACTGACAGTCTGTCACACAGTATGACAGAGATACAGGGAACCAGTATAGCCTGTTCACTCTTCTTGCTTCTGTACCACTAGTCATGACTGGGAATATCAACTGGCAGGTATTACAGAGATGATGCAGAAGTGAACAGAGAACACTGGTATGCATTAAGCTAGATCCTGATGCTTAAACAGAACCCATGCCCTTATATCAGGTAACCCCTACATCAGGGTCCCCATTGGCATGTCACCTTACATCAACTATCTTCATCAGACGGCCCCCTTACATCAATTTGCTCCCAGCAGTGTCCCCTTACATCTGGGTCCCCATTAGAGTCCCACCTTACATCAGGGTCCCCATCAGAGTTTCTCCTTACATCACTTGTCCCATCAGAGTGCTCCCTTCATGAAATGTCCCCATCAGATTGCCTCACAGATCAATGGATGCACTTTCGGAAGCATTTAAATTATTTGATTTTTTTGTGGGATTTTTTTAAGTTGGTGACAAGGTCCCTTTAAAACTGAACACCAGGCAAATCGCTTTATACACTATTATAATACAAACATAGGAAATATAAGAAAAAAAAAAAGGAATATTTTTACCTACCAAATAAGTTTTTTTCTGTACATTCAGGGAAAGGTTTAAACGTATCAGTTTTGGGGGGTTTTTGCTGCCTGTATCCTATTGTGAAAAAACTTACAGCAGAAAGAAGTTTGGGCTTTACAGTATATTTACTTTAAGAACTCCTACAATAAAGAACCCCTTCTATATAAAGCTTAAAGTGGTTGTAAAGGCCCAAGGCTTTTTACCTTTATGCATTCTATGCATGAAGGTAAACAAAAACCTTCTGTGTGCAAAGCCCCCACAGCCCTCCAATACTTACCTGAGCTCCATCGCGATCCAGCGATGTGCATGAGAGCCGCGACTGTCCAAGGACTCTGCTTCCTCATTGGCTGAGACAGCAGTGGTAGCCATTGGCACATCATCCCCCGGACGAAGCTACGAAATCCCTGTAGCACAACGCGTTGGGGAGGGGCAGTGACATCATCGCGCAATCTAACAACGATACGGCGAGTACTGAGGGTGTGTGGACACACACCGTTCGTTTGATCTAACTGCCAGCTGTGGGATATTGTGTATATATACAAAGCGCTAATGATATTTTTAAAATGTGAGTGCAATATAGAAGCACAATAAAAGCTGTTTTACCCCTGGGATAAGGCACCATATCTTTTATTCCTATTCTTACATGTAACATACGAGGAATACAAATGCAGAGGACTAAGGAGTGGATTAAAGGAGGGCGTATCCCTCACAGTCCTGTAGCCACACAGGTTCTCAACATCACAGCAAAGACCATATCTTCATATTGAAGGACAGTATATCCATCCAAGCTGGACATTCACTTTGCACATTGGGATATTATTGTTGTTTTTTCAGAGACTTTTTATTATTTTTTTATTTCTTATATTTTATAATATTTATTTATTTTTTAATTTCCCTTATCAAATTATATGATTATTTTTTTTCACTGATGGAAGATTTGCACATTGTTATAAGGATTCTACATTTAGTGACGTGATAATATATGAATTTATTTTTCACTAGTTATAATTTTATATAATTCGTTACGTTTAATATTAATTTATTTTTCACAAGTCATAATCTTATATAATTAATCACGTTACATCATTTATTCTCATATTTTACTTATTTATAAGCACTTAGCACTTTTTGATTTATACTTTTTTGTGGATATTAGAGCGCGGTTAACATTTTAAACTAATTTTAGCCATTGGCTCCCGCTGCAGTCAATCACAGTTTGGCTGTGGCTAAAAATTTCCCATACCCCTGTATATTGTGTTCACAGAGGGAGACATCTAAAAGGTTTTTTTTTCTTTTCCCCCATTTATCCACACTCTAAGCTGATACCACTACCTGAGGGAGTTCCACATTTTTCACTACACTAACAGCAAAGAACCCTACATTTTAAGACTGAACCTCTTTTCATCCAATCTCAGTTTGTGCCCACATGTCTTGCTAGGGACCTTGGATTAAAACAGTTTTATTACCAATATCACAGTCACTATTGATCAATGTGTATATTGTAATCATATCACCTCCTAAGTGCCTCTTCTACTGGGGAAATATGCATAGTTTTTTTTATGTCTTTCCTCACAGCCCCTCTATTAATGTTGCTGTCCTTCTCTAAACTCTTTCTAGTTCAAGAACATCCTTTCTAAGGAATAGTGATCAAAACTGCACTGCCGTTTTGCAAAAGTGGTAGAATTCTAGATTTATCTCTGGAATATCTGCCCTTTGCAAAGCATGAGAGAGTAGTCTGCTTTGCTTTGCTAGCTGCAGTTTGGCATTGCATGCTATTGCTATATCTGTGGTGTACAAGGACCCTCAAACTTTTTTATCCTCCTTATTAGTATCTTGCATATATGATTTAAGCACTCAAGTGCATAACCTTACATTTTTCAAAATTAAATCTCATCTGCTGTGTAGTTACCCTCTGAACTGTCATCTAAACTACTACATTGAAATCAATAGGTAATCTGGTGACCTGCATTTCAAAGTTTTACCTATGAAAGGCTGTTGTCAGGGATGTGTACTGTGTGAACCCTTCTCCATGAAAGAAACCTGCATGTTTGCAGAAAAAAATCTTGGTATGTGACTCGTGACGCAACGCGTTGAACAGGAGGCGTGGTGGGCTACACCCATGCAAGTACACCCAAATCGATACAGGCTGTTCTGAGCATATTATTTTTTTTTTTTATGTAAGTGGGCATTTGGCGCCCTTTGCTGCTTAATAAAGTTTAATAATTACTACACTATGGGAGTGTTCTTTTTCTCCTCACACGATCCTTTTGGGATCGTGTGAGAGGCTGTCTGGTGGTAATTTTTTTTCCTTGAGGGGATACCACCACTGTTCCTGGTGGCTGACTGTTCTTGAATTTATGCGCAAGCCCCCATGGGATGCTGATCCTCTGGCATTGAGCGCCTTTGCAGTGTGTTGGTCGCAGCGTGGAGGTGAGGAGGCAATTTAGCCGGTGGAGGATTTTTGTCAAGCTGATCACTCTCACTACCACCTATCAAGTTTACTTGGGAATTTATTATAGGACATTACATGCATTAGCTGATCGTGGACTTTTACACCTTATTTGTGTTTATACACATTGTTGTGTCATTTATAGTGATTCGTTTGTTCTTGGGTTCACCTGTCCACTCATTATTCATTTGTGACATTCATGTCATCCATATTTATTTATTTTTGAATATCCACAGTCGCCCATCACGATTTGTTCTTGTGGACCCATGTGCTGTTTTTCACCATACAGGTTTATATATTTATTAATTTTTTCACTATTTCACTTATATTCCATTGACCAATTTTTTTGTTTTAGTTCACCTATAGTACACCCATAGTACATCACTTTATTCACCACCTTCATTTAAGGATGTGTTCTCTATTTTGATGTTACTTTATATACGATGGTATGCACCTCTGTTTGTGCTGTGGTTTCACATTTATTATTGATTTGGGGGTTATCCACCTTTTTTTTTTTTCTCCCCTTTTATGATATTTTTTTCACTTATTTAGTTAGATTCCATTTGATTAGCACAGCACCACCCCCCTCCAAAAGATAGAACTAGCCTCCGAACAGAATTTTCTAGGAACCTTTATAGTAAGAAACTGCCTATCTATGCATTACAATACTTCAAGGAACCTTTCCTAACCACAGAGTAACTACTCTTACAGTAAACGACCATTTCTATTCACATCTAATCTATATATAAAAAAAAAAACTATTCTATCTTTCTTTTATGCACACAAAAGGCCCTTGTACTTTGTATAATTTTTGTTGCATTATTAATACTTTCCCATGCAAGGCCTCCCACCACTTCCATACTGCTTCTAGTCTTCATCACTCATGCTAAACTTTCAGGAGGTATGAGAGCCCAATCACCTGAAAAGGTCTGCAGCGTGTGATCAAAGTAAGGCCCATTGTGGGATTCAGAGCGGCTGTGCTGATGTAATTTCCAAGTGTATTTTCCATCAGAGGAGAAGCCACAGGTTCCAGCTTCAAAAGAGCAATGAGTAGGAGCAGGGCATGCACTAGATGTGATAGTGATGTCATCAATGGCGATGTGACCCACAGATCCATCACGCACCGCTTCAAGTATCAGCTAGGACATTGGCAAACAGAAAATAACGATACATTACTTAAAAATCTATCATATCGCCAAAACTCCATTCCAGAAACTAACTTGTGATGCTTTTCTAGTTACACCCAGAGATACACCTGTGTTTGCAATGGGAGAAAAAAAATTAATTTGCTCAAACTGTAAGAACCTTACTTGAAGTTACTTGCAAATCTGAGTCTCTAATCTGCATGCTTGTTCTGGGTCAGTGGCACAAAGTACTGAAACCAGAGACGGGCAGACCGAATTCTTGGAAGGGTCAGTGTCAGCCCTAATTTTTTTCTTAGTACAAGTTACCTGGAACTAGCAGATTGGGTAACCAATGGGGCACTGTCTACACAAAGTCTATTCTCCCCATATGAAACAGTTTTCCAGAGGGTGTTTACCTGATATTTTTTGCCAGTGAGAGTAACAGACTCACGATGCCAGCGATTTCCATGGGTGCCAGTGTTGGTCCAGATCAGGTTCTCTTCTCCTCCATCATATATAGCGAATATGTTCA